TTCCACTAAGTTATGTACTGTATTCAAAAGTATATTTCTGCATTATAACAATACCATAATGTTCTAAAGTTGCCAGTGAAGGTATATAATGTTTTTCCTTCCAGAAATCTAAGTGAAATTGATATTCTCAGGCAGATATATGTTTAGTGTATGGCTTCTCATACTTTGTTTTGGGTTACATAGGATCATTCTTTTCAAATCTGCATTTGAATTGTGTTTAGAATTATTGTGTAAAAGACAGAGGTGTTTTAGCGATGGCAGCTGATTATGTAATTCAATGGTTTGCAAAGCGTGGCCCCTGGGCTGGCAGCATCGGCATTGCCAGGGAACTTGTTAGAAATGCAAATTCTCAGGCCCCACCCCACTACTGACTCAGAACCTTGGGATGGAGCCCAGCACTGTGGTTTCACAGGTCCTCAGGTGATTCTGATGCAGGCTAGAGGTTGAGAACCACTATCCTAAGTTCCCGGGAAGAGTAGGGTGTGTGTGTGGGGGAGGGGGGGGGCAGGCACAGTATAGGGTGGGTTCAGGCCCTCCAAGTTTTGTCTTGTTTCCAGTCTCCCCACCATTGTGACTTGAATTCTTCGCAGTTTTCCAGCCATTGACTTTGGGACTAGACAGCCACACAGAGACATCTCTTTCCTGAAGACAGACAGTAATTCTCAGAGAAACATAGACCGAATCCATTAGGAGGAAATAATCATTTTCCTAACTGCCTCTTATTCATGAGGAGCTTTGCCCTGTGGGATCTGCACTTTGTTGTTAAGCAAAATAATTGTTCTTTTAATTTCTCATCTCCACCTTTCAGATTGTGCCCTTTAGGATCTAGCAGGAATATTAGAGGCCTATGGTAGGGCCCTGCCTCTGTCACACAGAAGCAAGCACTGAGATTATTGCTCACCCAAGTTCTTAGCCCCAGGCTCTTGTTCTCTTGTCTCTCTGGGGAAGAGAAGGGGGTGGTTTCTTCCTATAGGGGCTCAGGTATAGAGACTCTGGGTTCTGTCTGTGTCATACCCCTCTCTTTTTTACCCCTTCCCAGATGGTAACAATTGCTGAATGCAGGGAACTTGGAAAGGTAAATTGAAACCTTTCTCTGTGGTCTGGGAATTTCATAGAAAAGTCAATCCAGAAAAGGGCAAATGTTGAGAAAGCTGCAGGGTGAATAAAAAAGCTGGGACATTTCCGCAGTTGTTGAGGCTACCTGTGAGATGTTTACCTCCTATGGGAAAGGTGGGTTTTAAAAGGGGAGGGGTTAAACTAGAAGCTGGTCTAGTACTGAAAGGGTTCCTTCAGAGAGGCTGGGAAGGAAAAGGCTGGGAGGGGAGGAAGAAAACTAACTGGGAGAACTTGTAAGCGAGGTTTTCTCTGAATGAGTGCTTGAGTGAATGAACGCATGAAATGCCTTGAGATGTAAGGATTGGTAATACTGAAATTCAGGGTTCCTTCTTCGGTTGTCAGGTCAGTACTTAAAAACAACGTAGAGCGGGAGAATGAAGCTGCACCACCAGGGGGCAGCAGAGCCCTATTGCGAAAATAGCCCAGGAGGAAAAACCGCATCCAGGTGGGAATCTGCAAACTCCAAATGATAAATGTCGGTGTTAGGCATGCCCCTGGAGGATGTATCTTTCACCCAATTTTTTAGCACAAAAATTTGCATACACAAAATTAGGGAAGTCTTCTGTAATGGAAGGTATGTGAAATCTGCACAAATCAGTCTCAAACAGGTAAAATTTTGCACATTACATACAAAGCCTCAGCGCCTTAACTCGAAGACCATTTCGATAGCATCTAGAGTTTCAGAGACCTGGCTCCCATTTATTTTTCTCCCGTGGTTCTGTGAAACTCAGGTACTGAGCCGGGGGGAGGTGGGGATCCAGGGGGTTTTAGTGAAGGGCAGGACGTGCTGTTTATACATCTTAACAGGTTGAATTATGCAGTGTGGGTAGGGTTGGGCGGAGGATGCTAAGTCTGAATGTGGTGGGCCAGGGCACTGCTCCTTGCTGAAGACTGTGGGGAGGAGCCAGTGCCCAACTAGGGAGTTTGGCCTCAAGGTTGAGAGTTAATGCTCTGGAGCCCAGCTCCCTGGGTTTGAATCCCTGCTCTGCTTTGGCTTGAGAGTCTGGTGAGTTACTTACTTTATTTATGCCTTGCTTTTCTTTTCTGAAAGTGGGAAGAGCATATAGTACCTTCCTCTCAGCACTGTTGTAAAGATTAAATGATTTTGCATAGGTGATGTGGCTTGATGCATAAAGTGTTAACTATTACTGTTATTGTTGTTCTTGTATTGTTAGCCAAAAGCATGTGGCAATTCTGGGTGAGTTTAGGCCAGAACTGAGACTCTGGGTGTCCACTTGGGAAGGTGGGCACAACCACAGGGGATACTGGGCAGTGGCCATCCTTGGCCTCAGAAGAGGCCAGTGTGCTGGTTCCAGCTTTTTGAAGAGAGACCCAGGCAGTTGCTGCAGGTACGGGGCAGGCCCAGCCCCTGAGTGGCTGGCGCTGGCAAGAGCTGGGCAGTCAATGTCCCAGAAGATCTGTTCAGGGTGTAGGGTGGGCTCTGGTTCCAGAGGGCTCCTGGAGTAATGCTAACTATTCCACTGAGCACTTACTCAGAGCCAGGCTTTACACGTTCTAATTTGATTCATTCCCACAGCCACCCTAAGAGAGAGATGCACTTGTTGCCCCTTTATAGACGGGGAAACAGAGGAAAGAGAGACTGCAAGAATACAGACTGGGTGGAAGGAACAAAGACGTGAGCCTTATCATGCTGACTTGATGTGACACTCATTAGGAATGGAGGGCTGGCTGGTTGGCTCTGTTGGGTAGAGTGTGGTGCTGAGAACACCAGGGCCCAGGGTTCCATCCCTGTACTGGCCAGCCACCAAAAAAAAAAAAAAAAGTAAGAGGATGGAGAGTGGCCTGCAGGTCTGGAGGCTCAAGCTGGCTGGACCAGTTCCAGTCTTACAGCAGCAGTACCAGCTGCAGGTCCTGCTTGCTGTTCTGGGAGCGGGTGTGCATCACTGGCCTTGGTCCAGATGGCTGGGGAGGGGACGATGAGGGGTCTGATTAGGAAGAGATTTGCTGGGAGTAGGGGTGTGGCCTGTGACTGTGGAATACAGAGAAGCTGCCCTGCTGTAAAGGAATAAGACTCCTGCTGCAAGGCCCCTGGACTTGAGCAGAGAGAAGAGAGAAAGTTGGAGGCAGAGGTGGCACAGCTGAATAATTGACTCTGGGTAAGGCTTTTGTTTGGTGCCCTCAAACATATGTATCATTTATGTGTGAAGGGAAAGGACTTTTCATCTTTGAGAACGGTCATCTTTAATCATCAGAATATCTTTGAAAGAGAGAGAAAGGCTTCGATATTCCCTTTTATGCAATTTGCATGAAGTGAGCTTTTAAAATATAATGCATTTTAAAATGCACTTTGCAGATGAGTTAATGTCTGTGGTGCCCTCAAACATATGTATCATTTATGTGTGAAGGGAAAGGACTTTTCATCTTTGAGAATGGTCATCTTTAATCATCAGAATATCTTTGAAAGAGAGAGAAAGGCTTCGATATTCCCTTTTATGCAGTTTGCATGAAGTGAGCTTTTAAAATATAATGCATTTTAAAATGCACTTTGCAGATGAGTTAATGTCTGTTTTTTTAGTGGAACCTGAACTTAAAATTTCCATGATGGCAGTTTTCGATGGTCTTAAGATTGGCAATCCCCTAGGTTTGAGATATCTCGAATGAAATACTTTGCAGACAAGAGAACAGCCCTACTTGTTAAACAATTGTGTGGCACATCTGTCTGTCCTGCTGGGTTCACAAGGGACAAATAGTGAGGTTTCTAAATACAAGGGAGTCAACTAGATTGAAGGTATGAATGGACGGTAATAATGACAGGAATCTAAAGAAAGATGAAAACCATTTTTTTTAATAGGTAAAAGCTAATAAAATGAAAAGTTGGATTGTTGTCCTCTGCTATGTTTATTTGTACAATTGAGTAAGAACATTTCTGTTGCTCGGAATGAGAGAGTGTTGCAGAGAACAGTCTAGCCCTTTTTGTTCTATAGTGGCATGTAATTATGCCTTATTAAGACTGGTAGGGAAGTTTTGGCCTGTAGAAAGTAGGTAGGTTGTCGTTGGGAAGCCAGTCAGCCACAAAATGCACCTCATGGCTCTTCTTAATTATAGATATTTATGTCATTTTAGATTGCACATGGTTTGGGGAGGGAAGGAGGTCTCTGAATTGATCTCGAAATGTGATTGCCTGGAGCTGAGAGGGGATTGGATGGATGTATTTTCTTGACTGCCTTGTGGGCTGTTTGTCCTGGCCTCGTCTGGGCTCCCCTCTAAACCAGCTGCCATCTCTCTTTCCAGGAATGGGGCTTCATACCCACTGGTCCTCAGAGGCCTCAAGTGCAGGTCTGGTCTCCAGAGGACCTGCGCTTGGGGTAGCCTTATGTTCAGGGGCCTGCAGGCCGTGCACATAGTTGCTTATTTAGAAACCGAGACATCCAGTTGTTGAAGATTGTCTTCTGTCAACACTGCTTTTGAGGCTATTATCCTACTCAGCCAGACAACTTGCTTCTCTCCAAGAGTTTGCGCACCAAGAAAGGCTTGTCCATAGGTCTAGAGTGATTTTGGTGCCTCTTCATGTCTTAGTCTTGTCAATTGCCCTGGTGTGAACTCTTCCAGCCTCCAAAGACTAATGGATACTATGTCTTACTCCATTTGAATTTTCCAAATCTTTTAAGTTCTGCTTCCCATTTGATTAACAATTCCATCTTTAAATCATTTCTCTCTTCTGCCACATGACTATTAATGGTCAAGAGGAGGCAAGCTATGCTTTTCACACTTTACTTAGAAATAGCTTCAGCTAAATATTTAATTTCATCACTCGAAGTTCTACCTTCCGTAAAACACTAGGACATAAACACAACTCAGCCAGGTTCTTTGCTGCTTTATAACAAGGATCGTCTTTCCTCCAGTTTCCAGTAATATGTTCCTCATTTCCACCTGAGACATTATCAGACTGGCCTTTACCATGCATGTTTCCACCAGCGTTCTGTTCATGACCACTTTCTCTAGGAAGGGTGAGGCTTTTTCTACAGCTCTCCTCCGTTCCTGGTGAGCCCTCACCAGAATGACCCTAAAGGTCCATTCATAGCAATTTGGGCTTTTTCTAGCATGTGCCTCAAAATTCTTCCTGCCACTACTCATTACGTAGTTCCAAAGCCACTTCTGCATTTTTGGGTATTTGTTACAGTAGTACTTCTACTTCTTGGTACCAATTTTCTGTCTTAGTCCAGTTGGGCTGCTGTAACAAAATACCATAAACTGAGTGGCTGATAAGCAACAGAAATTTATTTCTCACAGTTCTGGAGGCTGGAAAGTCCAAGATCAAGGCATCAACAGATTCACTGTCTGCGGGGACCCAGTTCCTGGTTCATAGAATGGCACCTTCTTACATGGTAGAAGAGTCTGGTTAGCTCTGCAGGGGTCTGTTTTATAAGAGCATTCATCCCATGAGCTCTGCCGTCATGACCTAATCACTTCCCAGAGGCCCCACCTTCTCATACTATCACTTTGGGGATCAGGATTTCAACATGAATTTTGGGGGGGACACAAACATACAGACCATAATACTATGTTTGGAATCATTTCCTCATTTGCTGATGGTCACTAAGTTAATATTAATTTGCTTTAGAGAGCCGGGAAAGGGTTGAAAGTACAAAGAGGAACCCAGTACATAGCTAAGAAAACCGAAGAGTGAGGTGGGAAGGCAGGAAGTAAAGATTTGTGTAGCATAAAAGAGTGAGATGAATATTTGCTCATAGAGGATGCCAGGCCTCCCTGACAATAGAAGCAGGATGCAGAAATAGCGGGGCCTTGAATCCATCTGTCTCACGAGCAGCGGTGGCCGATGTTTTCACAATATTGTAAAGTTACATTACCTTTTCCCTGATTACAAAAATCCACTTTAATTTTCAAAAATAACTAAAATGCCATCATTCAAAGATCTCCACTTTTGTCATCTTGGTATATGTGTTTCCAGCCTTTCGTTATTTTTATGCACATTAAAACAAAAATAGTTTTCATGGCTGCATAGCAATCAGGTGTTCTCATGCATTTAACCAGTCCCCTGCTTTTAGATATTTGGGTTCCTTTTTTTTTTTTCTCCTCAATTAAATAACACAGGAATGATCCTGCAGGTAGGTGTTTCTGCACTAAGGATTTACTGGATTATAGATCCACTGCTGTAGACTCTCTAGGGTTTCTCAGAGTGTGCAGACTCTAAGGATTCACACCAAAACCATGCTCAGTTTCTGCCCAGAAAGGGGGCTGCTTTGGCTCACCGCAGTGCAGCTGGCTCTGATCAGTACACGTCTGCAGATACCCCAATATGCCCAGTGTTCCTTCTTGGAAAACCCTTCCCAAGTGATGCTTTTCCCCCATCAAAACTGACCAGGTGAATCCTTTATAAGAGTTACTGTTGTTTGCTGACAATGTGGGTGGGTATGGCTGGACAAAATATCTTGCTGAAGTGAACCGAAGGAAACAAGGAAAAAGGTATTTCTTGTTAGTTTTATTAATTTACATTAAAAATTTAAACCAACAACCTTTCCTGGTAAGAAAGCCATTTGTGCAGATTATTGTAAGGCCACTGAATCAGCCAGAATCTCTTAGTCTGGCTTTTGCTGTAGGAGGACAGTTTGAGAAAGTGGTAGAATGTATGTTTAGAAATGGAGTAAAACGAAATCCCCTGGAGTGTGGCTCTGTCTCCCTCTCTCACGGCAGTGCCTGCCACTCTCCTGGCTGTGGCAGGCCCTCCACACCTTGATGGTTAGAGGAGAGAGAAGTTGAAGAGGGACCTCAGGGTCACCTTCCCCTAGCAGTGGGCCTTTCTTGTTTACTTAGTGTCGTGAGCCCTAATTGTCACACGCTGTATCAAGTTCATTTCCTCCGCCAGCTGATGTTTGCAGACCCAGATTCATCAGTTAGCATTAGCCTCGCCTCTGCCTTTCACGGCAGCCTTCGGTCTACTAAAATCTTGTCACTGTGAGATCCAGAACACATACCACGCGCTCTCGTGTTTCTGTGTTCATTGTCTCATTGTGTTAAGGCTGAAATTGAATTGACTTCCAGTTTTATAGCATGTTTAGGAATCCTCGAATCTGTGTGTTTTAAATTATTGTGCATCCCTAAACAACTGAAGATAAGACCACAGAACCAGGCTATTTTGGCAGAATTTTGTTTTTGTTTGTATTACCCACACAATTCAGTACTCTCAGTAGTTTGTCTACATCGGTGAACAATCGCAGCATCCCTCTCTCACCTAGGGTTCTGTTTCTGCACCGTCTCCTAAGCTGCCCTGTAGCAGATAGTCTGGGCTGCCATGAGGGCAGGATGTGAAAAAGGCACACATAAGAGACACATAATGATCAGATATTAATTACCAAGTATCCAGTGCTTTTTATATCCCAGGCACTGTACTTACCACTTCATAGTCTTTACCATATTTAATCATCACAGCAATTTTTTTTCCACTTTATATATGAGGAAACCAAGACTCAGAGAGGTTAAGTAACTTGCTCAGGATCACACAGCTCTATGGTTGTGCTAGAATTTGATCCTGATTTAGTCTACTCTAAAGTCCATGTTCTTAACTATTACACTACCCCAGCGGCAAGGTGCTTGCCCCATGCACTGTCCTTGTTTGTTTCAAAAACAACTTAAGGAAAATGACACACCGTGCTTAATCCCCCCCCCCAGACTCCATATGTCATTCTCCTTTTCCCTTACTAGTCCTGTGCCCCTTTTTGATAGGGCCCTACTTTTACCAGCCTCAGACATGAGGGGGTGATGGATGAAGACCGGCAGGGTGACACCTGGAGCCTGAAGAGACCCCCAGGTCCAAGGGGAATACTACCCATGGTGCTGCCCTCCCACTCCAGGGTTTTGCATGGCTGTCACTGGAGCTCAGGGATGCAGAACTTGTCCTTGGTTCTTGGTACTAGGCTAGCATGTTGACCCCACCCTTTTCTTACTCTGGGACAGTTTTCAAACTCAGATATGACTTCTTCACCCAAGAACAGTTAGTGCTCTGAAGGCAAACCAGCCCTCCGTGAGTAGATATGGCCATAACATTTGTGGGAGGTTTGTCTGGAGAATCCTTTGCGAGGCACAATCCGGTGACCTCTTGTGTTTCCACTTCAGATGCAGCAGCAGGACGACTTGTCGTTGGAGCCCCGCCTCTGCGTGCTGGCCCGGGGCGTGGGCCGCCTGCTGTGCTGGTGGGGGCTGGCCGAGCTGATGGTTCACCTTTTGTACATGCACGCCATCTACAGCAGCATCCCCCTGCTGGAGGCCGTCTCTTGCTGGACCTTAGGTAATTGTGGCAGTCACCATCGGTAGGACAAGCACCAAGAGTTAGCCTCAGAGTGAAGCTGGGCTGGGGGCAGGCAGGGGTGCAGTGGCCTTGAGCAACCTGCTGCTCCCCTCCCTCCAACTCCCCCCACCCTTTTTTTTTACCTTATTCTTCTTGTGGCCAGGATTATGTATGTGTGAGGTGCTTGACGAGGTTGACAGAGGTGAGGGCTGTGCCTTTGGTCTGGGAACCAAGGAAGGTAGCCGTCCCTCCTTATAATGGAATCCTACCCAGCCTCAGCTGGGTCCCTGTGCTCCTGGCATGGCCAGTGTTGCATTGGGCAGCAGAGGGCAAGAGTCGCTGGGGGCAGCCTTTGAGCCCATTCTAAGAGGTCATGCTCCCGAGTGAGTTGTCCTGCAGGCTTCCTTGTTCATGGGTAAGGCATAAAAGAAGAAGTGTGAGCATTAGAGTCACACAGTTGTAGGTTTGAGTCCCAGCTCCACCGCCACCAGTAGGTGCCCTTTGGCAGGTTATTAAGACTCTGTGAGCTTTAGCATCTTCATCTGTTAAAAAGAGGAGACCTCCCTCTGCAGCACTGTTCTGAGGGTTAGATGAAGTGACACATGTTGAGGGAGGCCCTCATCAAGTGCCTGGCAGACAGAATAAATGGTGTGTGTGTCTTACCTTTGCTGCTAACCCCTTCTTATCCACCCTTTTCTTTGTATTTGCCAGTGAGGTGGGGTGGAAGTCTTATCTCCTCAGCCGGGTGGAGTCTCCAGTCTAGGATTTGTCTGTAGAGAAACCATTGTTCTTTCTTCCTCTGGCCAAAACAGCAAAGACTCGGCCCCTTTCTGAACTCAATTTCCTCACGTCTTTTTCTCTTTTCTTTGGAGAACTCCTGCAGTGGCTGAATTCCGCCTGTGGTCTGACCTCCAGCCTGTAGCTCCGAAGGGAAATGTCTGATCTTCCAGGCAGATTAAGCTGCACCCTGCCGAGGGCAGGAGTACAAGCCTGACTCCTTATCTTTTTAGTGATTTATAGATCTGTTTTATCTTGATTGTCCTCAGTGTCACACATGCTTAATCAGAATGTTTCCAAGGAAGAAGCCTTTTAGAATGGAAAAAATGCTGAGCTGTTTTAATGACAGTCTCTTCTTTCCAAACAAATCTTTTTATCCTTGGGAGTAATTGATATTCTAAGGTTTTAATGCTACAGTCACACAAACAGAATGGGACTAAACGATGGTTTGTACCAAGTCAGATGCCATTGGGCAGCATCCAGATGAAGAGACTGTTTCAGTTTGAGTATTTTAACTATGAGTAATGGAAAACACAACTCAAGATGGGGCTTGAACAATAATACAGAAAAGTTGTATCATGTAACACTTACTCCTAGAATCAGCACCAGGGTTGGTAAATTTACTGACTCAGAGATGTCGCCAATGATTCATTTGTGTATCTACTATTCAGTTTAAGAGCTCACCAGAGTTCTGTAAGCTGCTCGCTGAACCTCCAATCCCACCAGCCTCTCTTACCCTCTCTGCAAAGATAACCATGTTTTTGCGTTTATCATTCCCTTCTTTGTTATTATACTTTCACCACAGTTAAATCCCCCCAAATTGCATATTTTAAGACATCTTCACGTAAGTAGATTCATACTTGGTGCGATGCATACTTCTGTGATTTGAGTTTTTTTGCTTAAGGTTGTTTTTGAGAAGCATCTCTGTTGGTGCATGTTAACAGGTACCACTTACTTCTACTGTTGTATAGTATGCCAGTGCACACATACGATGCACGTCTGTTGTCTGTTCTACATGGAAGAGGACATTCGAGGGCTTTCCAGGGTTTTGCTGCTCCACAGAATGCCATTTCTTTGAGTCTCGGAGCTCACGTGAAGGAGTTTCCCTGTTGAGAATAGCTTTCAAGCTCTTTGGCACATGACCCATAGTGAGAAATGCATTTGTGTTGTAAGTGTGTTTGTGTGTGTAAACTCTCATGAGGCCATACTTTACCTTAAACCACTTGTAGAGTACACTGATATTTTATTTTCTGTTCCATACTATTTTATTTAAAAATGCTGGTTAGAAACCACTAGATTAAGTGAGTCACTTGCCAGAGTTTGTACAACACTGCTCTAATAAATATATGTACCCAGAAATAGAATTGCTGGATTGTGGGTGGTATACATGCTCAGATTTACAAGATAATATCATATTTTTAAAAATGGTTGAACCAATTTATGCTCTTCTCAGCAGGTATGAGAGTTTTCATTGCTTGAAATTCGCATTAACACTTGCTACTGGTTTTTAATTTTGAAAGCCTGGTGGGTGTGAATTGTATCTCATGGTTTCAGTTTGCATTTTCCTGATTACTAATGAGTTTGGACATCTTTTCATAGGTTTACAGGTATGTCATTTTCAGGGAAATAACTGTTTAGGTTTTGCCCACTTTTCTATTGGCATTTTAATCTTTTTCTTATGGATTCATAGGAGTTATTTATTCTATATTACCATCTCCTTTTAGTTATATGTGTTGTTGAAAATAATAATATCTTGTGGTTTGTGTTTTGATTTTCAATGTTTTTTTTGTGTGTGTGTTGTCTTTTGATGAACGGACTTTAACATAGTTGTATTTATAAATTTTATTTTATGGTATGTACTCTTTTGGGTCTTCTAAAATAATTCTCTCCTACCCTAAGGTTATAATGATACTCTATTTTCTACAAAAACTTTCAAAGATCAATCTTTTGTTATTATATACATTTGCATTGCAGAAAATGAGAAAACATGGAAACCTCACTTCACTATCCATCCAGAGACCACAAATGATAAAATCTCCATGCTTGTCCTTCCCCTTTTGTTTTTTATACACACATTTATGGTTTTCCCCAAATAAGCTTATACTACATGTATATGTGATTTTGTACCTGCAATTTATTTTAGTCAATGATCTGTATACTTCCACATTACTAAATTTTTGTTCTCATTTGATGCCTGGCCAATAATCAGGTTGACCTCAGATCTCCTTTATTACTGGTTTGGCCATGCTCGTGTCCAGTTGAGGACCACACATTGTATCGAGTTGTTTTGTTGTTTAACACTGTCATAATTTAGCACCATCCCTTTTTATGGTACTGACTTGTTGAAGTGGCCAAGCACTTGTCCCACAGGATGCTGTACCATCTGTTTCCTCATGAGGTCATTTTTATTCCTGTATTCCCTATGTTTCTTATAAGCTAAAACTTAGATCAAAAAGCTTCATGGATTAAAGTTAATTATTTTTAGCTACAGTACCTTATAGATGATATTGTATGCTTAAACTTTTCCCTAATCTTATGAAAAATTTTAAACATCTAGAATGTTTGAAGGAATTTTATAATGAACACTATGTATCCACCAGAAGATCTAACAATTGTTAACTTTTTGCCTAAAAATAATATTCTCCTACATAACTACAATTACATATCACACTTAAAAAAATTCTCTAATACCATCTAATATCTAGTCTATTTTCATATTTCCCTAGTTGCCTCCAAAATAGATTTTTTTTTAGCTATTTTCTCAACCTAGAATCCAGCCAAATGTTATCATTTGATTTCATGTCTATTTAGGCTGCTTCAATCTAGTATACTTAAACCTCTTTTAAAAATGATATCGATTTTTTAGAATGTCTTATAGAATGTCCGACATACTGGATTCATTTGATTTTTTTCATTGCATTATTCTTAAATTTGTTCTTCTATCCCTTCTGTTTTCAGTAAACTGAAAGTCAGGTCTAGACCCTCTAGAGGCTTGATTTAATAAAAGTTAAACTTTTTTTCAGCATAAATAACTTCATACAGGATGCTGTATACTTTTATCGTATCCATGAGATGATATAATGCTAAGTTGTCCCCACTATTTGCATTGCTAAGTGAAATCACTTGTGCATGGTGGTGACTGCCAGATCTCCCCCTTGTATAGGCACATTTTTCCCTTTGCATGTAGCAAGTAACATGTGGGGTGTTAATTCAGTGCTGTGTGAGTACCTTGTTCCACAATAGCCTTGAATAGTATTGGTGAATAGTTTTAACGTCCTTTGGTGAACCTTGCCCAAATTGGCTTTTTCATTGGGAGTTGGAAATGCTGATTTTCTAAATCTTTCATTCTTTCTGCATTTGATAGCTGGCATTCTTCTGTAAAAGGCAACCCCTCCATCATAAACTGGGGCTGAATAAAGATTCTCCTAAAAAGACAGGGCAAACGTGCAATAATTTCTCTTTAAATATTATTTTTCAGAGTAAGGAATTCAGTGAAATACTCCTCTGCCATAGTGGGGTCAAATGATTTTATATTTTATTATTAAATATAACCGTTTTTCTTTTTGATACTAAGCTTGTCCCAAATTTGGTCAGGCTGGCCTTTGTGTTCTCTTGACTGCCTTTATTTGCCTCTGAACATTTCCTTGCTTCCTGGAACTAAGAAATGTCCCACCGCTCACCTTACATTTTCCCTAGTGCTGTACTGGAATCAGCCAAATCTCCTCAGTTCCTTTTAGTGGGAGTATTATATTTAGGAGCCAAGATCTGGGTGTGTTCATTGCTACACGAGTGTTATTGTTTGGATGCCTGAAAATTTTTAGAGCACGGACCTAGGAAATATATTTTTATAAAATATGAGTCCATGTTGATATTTTAAATTCAAATTTAACATTACTTTTTTTTCTTAGCATCTTTGATTTTATATTTGTGCCTTTTTCTTTATCAATGAAAATTTTAGTTCCTAATTACATGAACCTATTTACATATTTATTCTATCTGACACTATACAAAAACAATTTCAAAATTGCGGTACTCAACATTATGACTAAAAATAAAACCAGTGACACGTAAGAAATCATTTCAGTTCTAATTGCTCTTTGAATAGATGTATATAGATGTATACTGAGTGGGTGTACCATGTTCAAAAGCCATTTGAAATAATTCTTTCCAGTGTATATTTGGTTAGATTAATTTGTTTAGATATTTTTGAATTACATTTTGAG